CTCTGGGGGAAACTGAGGCACGCGCGGGCGGCGGGCGCAATTAATGAAGGGGCTAATGAGGCTAATGAGTCGGGGGGTCCTTCGGGGGGGGGTTGGGATGGTGGAGGGGATTTTGGGGATCCCCCGGGGGGCTCTGCGGGGGCGGCAGCGCGGGATCCGTCCCGGCCGGTTGGGCTGGACGGGCCGGCCCGGCCGCTTCTGGCGGCGGCGGCGGGGCGGGACACGCCCCCAAAGCTGCGGGACACGCCCCCTCCCCAAAAAAATGCACCCCCAAAAATGCACCCCCAAAAATGCACCCCCAAACCTCGCCCACTCCATCAGCTCCCCCAAACCCGCTGATGGAATCCTGCACCCCAAATTCACAGCCGCAAACCTGCCCCCCAAAAAAACCTCAGCCGGTCTCCGAAACTGCAGCCCCAAAAATGCAGCCCCAAAAATGCAGCCCCAAAAATGCAGCCCCAAAAATGCACCCCCAAAATGCACCTCAGCCCCTTCCGATCAGCCCCCAAACTTTCTCCCCAAATCCCACACCCCAAATCCCACACCCCAAATCCCTCACCCCAAATCCCTCACCCCAAATCCTGCAGGTGTGCCCAGGTGTGTGTGAGTGTGCCCAGGTGTTCCCGAGCCCCGTGCAGGTGTGCCAGGTGTGCCCAGGTGTGCTCAGGGGTGGTCTCACACCCTCGCTATCACACCTGGTGCCCACAGGTGACACAGGGGCCACACAGAGGTGCCCCCATGTCCCCCCATGTCCCGCAGGTGGGAGCCAGGTGGAGGTGCCTGTACCCACAGTCGGGTGTCACTCTCAGGTGTCCCACCCAGGTGTTCCAGGTGTCCCAGGTGTCCTAGGTGTCACACTCGGGTGCCCCAGATGTCCCTCTCAAGTGCCCCAGGTGTCCCTCTCAGGTGTCCCAGGTGTCCCACTCGGGTGTCCCAGGTGCCCCAGGTGTCACTCTCAGGTGTCCCAGGTGCCCCAGGTGTCACACTCAGGTGTCCCAGGTGTCACTCCCAGGTGTCCATGGTGTCCCAGGTGTCCCTCTCAGGTGTCCCGTGTCCCGCAGGCGGGGGCCGCGTGGAGGTGCCTGTACCCACACTCGGGTGTCCAACTCAGGTGTCCCAGGTGTCACTCCCAGGTGCCCCAGGTGTCATTCCCAGGTGTCCCAGGTGTCCCTCTCAGGTGTCCCGTGTCCCGCAGGCGGGGGCCGCGTGGAGGTGCCTGTACCCACACTCGGGGGTCCAACTCAGGTGTCCCAGGTGTCACTCCCAGGTGCCCCAGGTGTCATTCCCAGGTGTCCCAGGTGTCCCTCTCAGGTGTCCCGTGTCCCGCAGGCGGGGGCCGCGTGGAGGTGCC